GGAGAAATACTTATAGGTACAGAGTATCTGTTGGGGAAGATAAAAAAGCTCTAAAATTTGATAGCAAGGATGGTTGCACAACTCTGTGATTATACTAAAACCTACCAAACTACATTTTTAAACATATGAATTATGTTTCAATAAAGCCATTTATAAAGAGTAGAATCTGAAGTAATGAAATAAAATTGTTGTCCTTAAAATGAAAATAAAACCTTAAAAATACCAATTAGTCAAATGGCTATAAGTAACATAGCTGTAAAATACCAAAATACCAAGATAAAAGTTGAGTGAAGAAGGGACCCTAAGGTTTGTATTTTATTTAACTTCTGCTTAATCCTCCTGCTATTATTGACAGCTCCTCTCTTCACTTTTTTTTTTAACCAATGAGGATTTGAATGTCATGTATTAAAAGAGTTTTCCATAGACTTTAAGGGTAGGTAAAGAAATTCAACACAAAAAAGGTCATATTATAAAAACCAGAATATATCATTGAGCTGGTTTAGAAATTTTACTTCTGATAAATTTAAAAACTGTTGTAATAGCAATAATGATATGTTAGAAAATTCAACCAGAGACAAAATAATGTTGAGCTCTATGACTCACAAAATGAAAAGTTTAAAAGGCTAAAAAATTTACCAAAAAAAAAAAAAGAGTCACATTTCTAATATTAATTATGGATTTTCAATTAATAAAAACAAATTTACCTGTATTCCACTGGCATAATCTCAGCAGCAAGATTCTCGTAACTCTTTGCAGCAGATGCATCTAAACAATAACAAAACAGATTAACATTTCAGTAATTCTACCATTAAAGAAAACTCTTCTAAATCCAACATTTACCTGTTTGGTTTAGGTGATCCTGCTGTACTTGGGAACATCGCAGCTCTTCATTTGTTTCTTTCAGAGTATCACGTTGTTCTATTAGTCTCTAAAAAAGAATTGTTTAAGCAAAACATTTAATTCTGCCCATAGGCAGTGTATTTTATGCTTACAATAATTTATCTTAACAAGTTAATATGGTAATTGTTGCTTAGTTAATTAAAAATTTTAGTAAGTTTTAGTGCTAAGGGCTAATTTTCTCTTGCATAAATCCCATAAATAATGGTCTTAATCTTTATATAGCACAAAGCTTGTGATTTCCCTATTAGACAGTTTATCTTTGAATAAAATGAATGTAATTATGCAACGGAGTACAAATATGTAATTGTAGAGTAATAAAAGAAACATGGACTTTGGAAGCAAAGAGGTCATGGCTGGAATTCCAGTTTCACTATTTACAAGCTATATTACCCAGGGCAAAGTATTCAATTCTTTGGCTTTAGTATCCTTATCAGCAAAATGAAAATATTGGTACACAAACCCTTGCAAAGGTGTACTGAGTAACAAATGAGATGAGGTTTGTGTCAAGTATCTAGAATACAGTCTGGTGTGTAAAAGATGATGGAAACATTTCTTTTTATCCCTGCTCTGAAATTCTACTGAAAGAAGTAATAAGTAGGATCCTGAAAGTATGAATTTGTAATAAAAAACACTATTTCCCAAAGACAGCATGCTAGGACTTCATATCATTAGCTGTATCATTTCAGAGCCCACAGCCAATGACAAATTTCTATGTTCTGTATAAAATGCTTACGTTTAAATCATTTTCTCAGAACTTGAAAAGTACTTTTGAATATAAAATCATATTTTAAAAGTTACATTCCAAATTAGTAAAAAAATCCTATTTAGTCCATTATGTGGATCAAAACAACCTAATAGTAAATTGGTAACTGGTTCTAGGAGTCCTGAGGCTGGAGTCCACAGATGCCTTAGGGAGTCCACAGATGCCTTAGGGACCGCTGAACACTATAAATTATAATTATAGCATGCATGAGGCCCTCTATAAATCTGTTTCTTCATAAATACAATAAAAACATTATTATATTTGCCTAAATCAATTTTTCCAGAACTCTGGAAATTAACCAAAGGCTTGCAATGATCTGAGGAGGATTTGTTAAAGAAAATAAACTAAATCTCAAAACGGTGAGCCTTTTGTTCTTTCATCTTGCCTTACTACTATCACCCTTTCCCCAGCTTTGGAGTAGCCTTGAAAATCAGCAGCCTCTCAATCACTGTAGCTGTGAAAGTAGCATCTGAGCAGCCACTAGAACAAATATGGATATAGAACTCCTCCTAAAAAGCCCTATCTTTAGACATTGTCACTACCTGACCTATCTTGCAGGGCCCTGTAAAACCCCATTCATAGGTATTTTTCATCATTTGAGCTGATTGGTGCTTGCTGTGCAAAAAAATCTCTATTCCCAAGGCATCTGTCAAAAATAATCACCTGCCATTAATTATTTATCACTACAGCTGCTAGAGGCCGTGACGCCAGTTAGGGAAAACAAGAGCATGGCTAAAAACTTACAAGGAAGATCTGAGAAATGAGATATCCGAAAGAAATTTTTAAAAGCTCCGACATATTCCTGGAGATCCGGGAGGCCAGTTATATGCAGGGCTGTGTGTATGCCCAGAAAAAACCTGGGAGGGCCTCAATGTCTCAGCTCTGGATAAACTTGAGGTCTTTTGCAAGCAGAAAATAGAGGCAAAGGCAATTTTAAACAGCTAAAGATGAAATGAAAGTGTTTTCCAAAATACAAACTGATTCCTTTTGCAAAGCATGGGAGAGATATTTGTTCAAGACATCTATGAAAATACCTGACAAATCATTAACTGACTTCAATGGTAACTGAGCAGAGAATTCAGTGGCTGCACATTACGAAGAATGCAGATTTTACATAATTAGTCCGAAACAGTCACTAAAAACCCCCAGCAACAACAACAAACCCTGAGGTTGGGGGAAATCTGATTTCCAGGGTTGAAACTATTTTATATGATTTTCAATGTCATATTTTCAACAAAAATATAAAACACACAAAGAAACAGGAGAGTCCACACATAAGAAAAAAAACAAAACAAAACATTCAACAGAAAGTCAATGAGGTTACCAAGTGGGTGGACACATTAAACAAAGTTTTTAAGTGAGCTAAAGCCTTAAAAAGCATGAAAAAATTTCCCAACTCATTCTATGTGGTATTTGCCTTGAAAACAAAACCAGGAAATGACATAAAAAATAAAAAATAAAAAAAATCCCCTACAAATCAATATCCTTTATAATATAGATGGAAAAATAATCAACAAAATACTAGCAAACTGAACCTAGCAACATTTAAAAAGGATTATACACTATGACCAAATGGAATTTACCTCCAGTGCAAGAATGCAAACTGGTTTAATATCTAAAAATCGATGTAATATATATACATTAATACAATAAAAGACAAAAATCACATGTCATCTTATTGACCTAGAAAAAGTATATGACAAAATCCAACACCCTTTCATTATAAGAACATGCAACAAACAAGAAATAAAAGAAACTTCTACAACTTGATAAAGGGCATCTACAAACAAAACCCACAGCTAAAAAGATACACAATGGTGAAAGAGTAAATGCTTTCTCTCTACTATCAGAACCAAGAGAACAGAATCCACTCTTGTCATTTGTATTTAACATTAGTACTGGAGGTTCCAGCCATGACAATTTGACAAGAAAAAGAAATAAAAGGTATTCAACTGCTAAGGAAGAAACAAAACAACTTCTATTTGCAGATATCCTGATCTTGTTTACAGAAAGTCTTAGAAAACCCACTAAAAACTATTAGAAATACTAAGTGAATTCAACAAGGTTGCAAGATATAAGATTAATGTGCATTAATTGTATTTTATACATTTCAATTGAAAAAAATCCAAAAATAAATTTGAGAAATTTCATTTGTAATAGCAACAAAAAGTATAAAACACTCAGAAATAAAGTTTTAAAAGGTGCAAGTTTTTTACAATGAAAACTACAAAATATTGTTCAAAGAAGCTAAAGACAAATAAATGGAGTGTTATCCCACAATCAAGGATCAAAAACAATACTATGAAGGTAGCAATGTTTCCAAATTGATCTACAGATTCAGGCAATCCTTATCAATATCTCAAGCTTGCTCTCTTGTAGGAATAGACAATGTGATCCTATACAGAAATATAAGAGACCCAGAATAACCAAAAAAATCTTTAAAAAGAATAAGGTTGGAGAACTCATACTTTCCAATTTCAAAACTTAATACAAAGCTACAGTAATCATGACAGTGTGGTACTAAGATAAAGCTAGACACACAGATCAATGAGAAAGAATTGGAAGTCCAGAAATAAACTCTTAGATTTATGGTTGAATAACTTATTTTACTTAAAAAAAAAATTAATAGACACTTTATTTTTGTAGTTTTAGGTCTGCAGAAAAATTGAGCAGAAAGTACAGAGTTTCCATGTACTCCCTTCATCCTCCCCCAATCTAGTTACCTTTTCTATTAATATACTGCATTAGTATGGTTACTTTTAAGAATTGATAAGCCAATATTGATATACTATTATTAACAAAAAGACAGTTTATATTAGGGCTTACTCTTTCTATTTTACTTTTGTGAGTTTTGACAATTGTATAATATATCCATCATTACAGTATCATGGCCAATTGATTTTTAACAAGTGTACAAGGACAATTCAATGGAGGAAAGAAGAGTCTTGTCAACAAATAGCACTGGGACAACTAACTGAATATCCATACACAAAAGAAGGAAGTTCGGCCCCTATCTTATACCATCTACAAAAATTAATTCAAAATTGATCACAGACTAAAAATAAAAGCTAAAACTATAAAACTAACTCCTAAAAGAAAACATAAGAGTAAATCTTTCTAACCTTAGGTTACTCAATGGTTTTATAGAAATATTACCCAAAAAGCACAAACAAAAGAAAAAAATAAATAATTATGACTTAATCAAATGAAAAACTATTCTGTAAACAATATAATTAAGAAAGTGAGAAGACAAACCCACAGAATGGAAAAAATAATTGCAAGTTGTATATCTGACAAGGGACTTGTATCTAAAATACATAAAGAACTTTTACAACTCAATGGGCATAGGGGTTCTTTTTGGAGTGATGACAGTGTTCTAAAATTTGATTGTGGTGATGGCTGCGGAACCCTGAATATACTGAATTGTATACTTTAAATGGGCAAAGTTATGGTATGTAAATTGTATCTTAATAAAGCTATTTAAAAAATCACATTTATGATCTTTGTTCTCAAGGAGTTGAGTCGAGAGTTGGAAAACAGGGACCAAGACATATGAACTTGTTCGACTTCGTTATTTCGTCTTCCCTTGTGAAGGTAACTATCAAAACAGCATGAAGAGTTTTTACAACATTTTCCTTTACAATAATAATTTCAATTTTGGAGAAAGATGACTGGATGATATCACTTCTCTTCTTAGAATATCAAGAGTCATATTAAAAACTAAAAGCAGACAGACATATTACTTATCAATTATATTTATGTTTACCTCTTTTTCCTTCAGTAAAGCTTCATGTTTTTCTTCAAGCCGCTTCATTTCAAATGCTAGTGTGTCTGCCCTTTTGGATTCAGAGGAAAGTTTAATGTGTAGATCCTGAACCTTTTGTCAGAAACGAAAGTAAAAAACAAGAGTATATGATACTGATAGTTTTACAGAGTTCAATATATGAGAAATTGAGTGTAAATAAAATTTATAGTAAGACTACAGTGTATTCTAAATATTTGTGGAAACAGCATGTAGATAAGAATTAACATAAATTTAAAAATATACAACCAACAATTTAGCCAAAAATAAACAGCCAAGCTTCTACACTAATGTTTCTCTAGGTTGTTTGATAAATAACGAGAGAATATTTTAGGTTATAGCTCCATTATCTAGGTATTTATCACTGATTACCAGAAATGCAAATAAACAAAAAAGTGGTCCCCCAAAATATATAAGCACAGAAGCCAATAAAAATGTAAAAGACTTAGATAACTCAAACTCAATTATCGATCCTTGAATTAAAATTATAGAAATTTAATCATAAGTTCACAGTTGACTAAGGCAATGTTCTTTTACTTCTATGCCATCCTTTAAGCATCAAATAGAGTAGCAAAGTTGAAGTATTTCAATTTTAATAATTAAAAAAATTAAGATATTTCTTACCTGTCTCTTGTATGTTTCTAATTGTGTACGTGCTGCATTTGCCTTCTTCAATTCTTCTTCTAAGCTGACTGTATTATGCATATACATCATGTTTGTTTCCTGTAAAGTTTTCACCTGCTTCCGAAGGTCATTCAGATCCTGTAGCTTCTGACGATATATCTCAACTGTTGACTCCAGTTTATTTGCTTTATCAGAGGTAGTCCTATAATAATAAATATTAAATATTACTGTGTAAAAACTGGTAAATGCACATCATTTTATTCTGACTGTAAAATGAGTCTTCCAAATAAACTATAAAGTAGCAAAAAAGAAAAAAGAAAATAGAGGAATTATAAATTTTGGGAGAACTTTCGAAACAGACTCAGGGCTAAAACTCTCTGAAGCTCTGCCTTTTTGTTATAAAGGCATCAAAATAAAAAAATGTTTCAAATTTAACACACTAAGTTATCAAACTGTTTTATATATATTAGCACAATGTATAAAAATGCACGGTTTTGTAAATGTAATTGGACAATTCTAAGCTGCTGTGTAGCTTATGGCCTATAGTGTGCATTCACTTAGTATAGTTTTGTTCCACGTATATGGTATCCTTAAGAAGTTGATTCAACTTATAATTTGTCCAGCAAAGCACTTTAGAGTTGTGCTTACCTGGTCAACTTGGCTGGAACAGAAATAAATAAATATACTAACCATATCACTTCACTATCACATGCAGGTTCAAAGTAATGGTTATAAATATTTTGTTTCAAATGGATATTAAAAACTGTGTAACAAAATGGCTAATTAAAAAAATAGAAAAAACGTGGATAGTGTGCGTGAGTAGTATTTCATAGACAAAAACTAAATATAAATTTTATATTGTCAAATACAGTAAGAGAATCCTTGCATGACCCTGAAATAAATGTTAGGATGCTTATCTATATTTATCTATATTTTACTAAATGTTAAAATATGGCTTATAAAAATGCATTTCCTTACATAAAAATTTCACAGGATAAACTAATGAGTACAAGGAGGCCAAGCAAATGTATCTAAAAGTAACTCAGCTTAAAAATTTTAAGAAAAAGGTATCATTTAGGATTTTGCTAAGAAACTGTCCTAACAAGAATTAATATCATCTTTAAACTGCAATTATTATTAACAAGTATAAAAGAAGTAAAGACCAGGAGCCTGGATAAAAACTAATCAGTATTTGATACAAAGGGATAACTCTAAAAAACCATGATTAAAATGTGGAATACTAAAATGACTAAGTAATAACTTAGAAGTGATATAATTATATTTAGATATGACATACCTAAGAACATCTATTTCATCTTTCAGGGCTCTTGTTTCCTCAGCAAGACTAGTCAATTCATCATTCCTATGCTGAAATTCAATTAGTTGCTTTTCAAGTTCTTCACAGTGAACACGGTAATCATCTTTTGCAGCTTCAAGTCTTGCATAAAGAAAACAAATAGGTTGTTTATGATGTAATTTCCATCATTTGTTTTCTTACTGAGACATGAGCTTATGAGATTTCTAAATGTTTTGATTTTTAATTCCACATTCAGAAGAAGGAAAGGTAAATAATAAGAAACTTTTGGGTTCCTGGTTTGAAACGAATGAGAAGTAAACACTCTCTTTGGTTATTTTTAGTTCAAACAGAAATCTTAATTTCAAAAGATGAAGAGAAAATGTATAGGTACATATTAAAATTATCAAGAAAATATACAGTATATAAAGTGGTAAAATATTAACTCTAGGTACACTGGTGATAAATTGAGGATGAATACTTCAAACCCTATAGCAACAAGAAGAACTAAAATGACAATACAGTGATTAAAATCAAATATTAAAAAAAATTATTTGATCAACTCTAAGAAATGCAGGAATGGAACAAAAGAATATATATGAGAAATGAAAATAGCATATTAATAGACCTACATACAACCATATCAAAAAATTACATAAAAGGCAAAGAAACCAAACACATCAATTAAAAAGGCTGAGACTATCAGACTGGATAAAAAAAGCAAGGCTCATATATATCCTAAATACAAGAGACTTTTTATATATAAAGACACAAAAATATTAAATGTAAAAAGATGTAAATAAAATACTATGCACACAAAGCAAAGAAAGTTGGGGTTGTTATGTTAATATATAAAAAAATATTTAAGAAAAAAGTATTACCAAAAAAAATTTCATAATTGTAAGTGTCAATTCATTAGAAAGACATACCATAAAAGTGTACATACCTAAAAAGTTTTAAAATACATGAAGCGAAACATAGAATCAAAGGTAGAAATCCACAAATCTACAATCATTGTTGAAAATTTTAACACGTCTCCTAATATTGATAGAAGTAAACAAAATACCAGTAAAAATAAAGACGGTATCTGAATAATACTATTAACCAGTTTGAGATAACTGACATGTACAGAACATGTCAGCCAAAAAACTATAGAACATACATTCTTTGCAAGTACACATGGAACACTCACCACAATAAAACATATGATCAGCAACAAAATAAGTATCCCAAAATATTAAAACTGAAATCTCATGGCGTTTGTTCTCTAACCACAAGGAAATTAAATTAGAAATCAGTAATAAGGAGTCTAGAAAAGCCTTAAATATTCAGAAATTAAACAACACATTTCTAAATAATCCACGAGTCAAGGAAGAAATCGCAAGGGAAATTAGAAAATATTTCAAACTGAACAATGACAGAAATACAACTGATCAAATTTTGGAGGACATAGCTAAATCAGTGCTTGAAGAGAAATTTACAAAGCAAGATGTCTTGTTCCTGCTTAAAGCAAGAAAATAAAGGCTTATATTAGAAATGAAGAAAGGTTTAAAATTGATCACCTAAGATTCAATCTTAAGAGGCTAGAAAAAGAAGAGCAAATTTAAATCCAAAGTAAGTATAATAAAAGAAATAAAGAACAGAGGTCTAAAACTAATATGGAAAGCTAATAGAAGGTATTTGAAAGATTAATAAAATTAATGAATCCCTAGAAAGAGTAATCAAGAAAAAATGAGAGAAAATACAAATGACCAATACTGGGAATGAAAAAAGGAGATATCGCTACAGTTCCTACAGTCACTAAAGGGACAATAGAAAGAATACTATGAGCCAGTAAATTCAACAACGTAAATGAAATAAACATACACCTTGGGAATAACTTACCAAACTGACAGTAGATAATATAAAAAACCTGAAAAGCTCTATGGCCATTAAAGAAATAACCCTTGTCATTAAAAGCCCTTTCACAAAGAAGACCACAAGTTCTGAGTGTTTTATTTATAAATTCAACCAAACATTTAAAGAAGAAATAATATTCTTACATAAACACTATCAGAAAATAGAGGAGAGAATACTTTCCAATTAGTCTATACACTAGAACTCTGATAATAAAACTTGAAAGATATTACAAGAGAAAAAAGTTACAGACCAATATCTATTATGCAGATACAAAAAAAATTCTTTCAATATATTAGCAAACCAAATCCAGTCAAATTTATACAAGATAATAAAATATGATCAAGTGATTTATCCCTGATATATAAGGTTTTTTAACATTCAAAAATTAATTGATCATATTAAAAGTATGAAAAAGAAAAACTATCTTTTTAAGACAGAGAAAAATCATTTGACAAAAATCAACACCAATCAACGATAAAAACTCTTAGCAAGCCAGAAATAAAAAGGCACTTCTTCAAAATGATAAAAAGCACTCTAAAACACTCTATAGCTAGCTTCATACTTGATAGTACTTAATAGAATATTTTCTCTCTCAGACTAAGAACGAAGCAAGATGTCTGTTCCTTCTCAAAGAAAACAAATACAAGGCCAAAATAATAAAGGAAAGACATAAGGGTCTATTAATAGATTAGATAAGTGTAGATTTTAGAATTTTCTACATAAACAAACTACTAGAATCAAGTCAATTAAGAAACTTTGCAAGACATAAAAGATTCAAAATACAAAAGTTTCAATATACAAAAAATCAATTGTACATCTGTATATTAGCAGCAACACTTCAGAATAATTTTTTGAATTGCATTTGTATGATAATATAAAATACTTGGGGATAAAGTTAAAGACAGATAAGCCTTCTAGGTGGGAAACAACATAACATCGCTGAACGGAATTAAAGACTTAAACGAAGATGACACAGTCATAGACTGATACCTTAACTATATTCAGAATTTCTATTATATGCAATCCAAATCATAATCACTAAAGATTTATTTTACAAAAACTTACTAGATGATTCTCAATTTTATGTGAAAATGCAAAATACTTATGATAACCAAAACGAATTTTGAAAAAAGAACAAAGTTGAAATACTTACATTACCTGATTTTAAATGACTTATTCTCAAACTACAGTAATCAAGACTGTGTCATATAGGCATAAATGTAGACAAACTGATCAATGAAAGAGAACTGAAAATCCAGAAAATGATCCAAATTTTATGGTTATATCATTTTTCACAAAGGTGCCAAAGCATTTTGATGAAGTTAAATAATCTCTTCAAATAATGCTATTGCAACTAGATACTCATATAGAAAAATAAAAATAAAGCTTGGCTCCTGCACCTCACACTATTTTGGAAAAAAAAAAAAAAAAATCAATTCAAGATGGACCACAGGTGTAAATGTAAAATATAATACTATGAAGGTTCTAGAAGAAAAATACTAGAGACTATCTTCATGACATGGGAGTAGACAAGATTTCTTAGAGAGAACACAAAAAGCACTAAGTAAAAAAACCTTTACTGTGAAAGACACCATTTAAAAATGAAAAGGCAAGCCACAAAATGGGTGAAATATTACTGCACATATATCTAACAAAAGATTTATATCCAGAATATATTTTTTAAAACTCCTATAACTCAATAATAAGACAAGCAATTCATTTTAAAAATAGGCTGAGTGTGAAGAAAATTCACAAATTAAATATTGCCAATAAGAACAAGAGAAGGGGTTTATCACATCATTAGTTATCAGAAAAATGCAAATTAAAGCCACAATTAGATATCCCTACAGATTCCCTGGCATAGCGGAAAGTACAAAGACTGGTAAGACCAAAATATGTTATATAGGCAAAGAAACTAGAGCAACTAGCAGCAAATACAGCCAGTGGAAATATAAAATGGTATGACCACTTTGGAAAATGGTTTTCCAGTATCTTTTCAAACTAAACATAGACCTATCATGTTACTCAGCATTACCACTCTATGTATTTGCCAGTGAAAAATGAAAAAAAATATGTTCACAAAAAGTTTTGTATTCTAACATTCATACCAGCTTTATTTATATTAGCCCAAATTTGGAAACCCAAATGCCCATCTAAAGGAAAAAAGATAAACAAAATGTGGTATATTGTGGAATTATTCCATATAATGAAATAATACTTAGCAATAAAAATAATTAATTACTGATACATTCAACAACATGGCTAAATCTCACAAACATGCGGAACAAAAAAAGTCACTAGAGTTCACATTGCATGAGTCAATTTATATGAAGTTCTAGATGAGAGAAAACAAATTTATGGTGAAAAATAATCAGAAAAGTAATTAGCTTCTGAGAGGTAGAGGTTGACTGGGAAGAAGCATAAGGAAACTTTCTGTAGTAATAGAGATGATCTATCAAATAATAAAAGTGTGAGTTACACAAATGTCTACTTGTTAAAACATGCCAAATTGTACTCAGTATTTATTCATTTTACAATATGTAAATGTTACCTTGTTAGAAAAAAAATACTATAAACATACTGAAGTCCAGTATTAGTTTGCTTTTTACAAAGGTATGGGTTAACAATTCTTAAATTAGTTTCTGCGTGTTTTGGGATTGAGTAAATGAGTAAATATTCTGAAGAAAACTTAAGGCAAGTTTCTCACTATTGGAGAAGGGAGTTACAATATGGAAATGGAGATTAGAATGAACGCTGAAGTCACTGGACTAAAATAAAGGATGTCAATATTAAGTCATTTTTCATAATCACAGATATAAAAATAAATGCAGAAATAGGTATATACAAGTGTGTGAATATGGGCAAGTATGAACCTGTACGAGTGTATTTCCCAGCTCTGTACACAGGGGTGGACTAGAAGCAGTGATAGAAAAATTCATCTGGAGCACAGATCTTTGTTTCTAAATAACATTCTCCACTAAGAGGAATCAGAGCTTCTTGGAGAAATGGCTGATTCCAGAGTTGGGTAAGGGAATGATGGTGAGCCTGGAATATTTTGTTGTGCCAGAAAGCAAGAAGTACTCAAAGAAGGATAGTGACATGCTGAAAGAATACAGGGGCTAATTGAAAGACCTCTTAGTGGTCAAATCTGGAATAATTTGAGCATCAAAATAAATGATGACAGAAATGGATTTATAGTCCATTGACTAAGAATCCATTATTAAATGCATGGCATGATCCCAAATTAGATTCTGAACTGAAGGGAAAAAATTAGCTATTAAACACCTTGAGACAACTGACAGAATTTGAATATGACCTGTGTATTAGATAATAACATTGTATCAATGATAAGATCCCCAATTTTGATCATTATACTGTGGTTTATCAGAGAATGTCCTTATTCCTAGGAAATACATACAGAAGCATATAGGGATAAAAGGGTGTGTTTTCCAACTTATTCTCAAATGTCTAAGGAAAAAATGTTTCCTTATATGAATATACAGAGAATGCTAAAGCAAATGGAGAGAAAACTATAAAATGATTGTTGAATCTGAATGAAAAGTATAAATGAATTCTGCATACTATTCTTGCAACCTTTTTTGTAAGCTTGAAATTATATCAAAATAAAATAACAGAAAGAACATATACAGTACAACCAGAGTGCCTCATTTCAAGGCCTTATAGCTAGTGTAACACTCAGTGGTAAGCATATTAAGAGACAATCAATGTTTACTAAAGGTAAGGTGTACACTTTTTAAAAGAATAAAAAAATTAAAATGAAAAGCATCTCTTTAGCGTAAGATTTAGAATTTTTTTTCATTTAATTATCAGTTTGCCTCTCCTATGTAAGAAATTCCCCATTCTCCATAGGCTTCAGCAATCACTCCTTTAAACTACTCGTGGACTTGTGTATGGCCTTCATTTGGCCCTTATCACATGTTATTTTGAATTTTTGTTTTTATACATGCATCCCACTTGTCTAACTGGATTTTAAGCCCTATGAGGGCAGGAACCACTTATACTATTTGGTATTTTCAGTAGCTTAATCAGTGTGCTAAACATGCTTTATAATGCTTAATAATTAGTTGTTGATATTATGATTTTTTAAGCTATCAGTTTAATAGACAGAATTCTATAAAAAGATTTCTAATAAAAATGCTACCTGAAGTTTTCTTCTTGTAATTGTTCTAGTTGTAACTGTGCATGAAAAAACTTTTTTGCAACCATTGTATTTGGATCATCAAAAGATCCATCCATTTGGTCAAGTTTTTCATTCATCATCTCATTCTCAGAAACTAGTGAATTCTTTTCATCTTGAAGTGCAGTCACCTAAAAAACAAATACACGAATGTAAGTATCAAAAGCAAAAAACTTAGAGTCCAGAGTTCTGGATTCTAATTCTGACTAACCCATTAAATTAGCTTGGTCAATCAGATGAAATAATTTCTAAGGATCCTTCCAACTCTGGAATTCTGGATCTAGAATTAATATAGAGAAAACAGAGCTTATACATATAAAGAGAATATCTTCAAAATGTTATACTTGCTTTTGTTCTACAAAGAAAATGTTTCTAAGTCTCTAAAATTTGATGTACCAATAAAATTCAAAAACTTAATTTGTTCTCATTTTAGGTATAAATTTATTTTTAGGATGCTGTTAACCTGGTAAGCCAAAATACACACATATACTCACAAAGTTACCAATTTAGTTTCATAGCAGAAAATTATCAGTTACACATCTAGTGTTCAGAGGACAAGCACATTTGGTTGATGAATCAACAACAAAAAGCTGAATTAAATCCATTTGCACATTGAGACTGTTTGTTTATAATTTAAATGGACAAAAACATTTAACTTTAGAATCACATCAATGTAAATACCTGAAACACTTTTTATCTTTCTTATATATTTACATAACAGCATGTTTGCTCTCTTGGTTCCATTTCTTTTCTACTTAAAAACATCTTTAATTTAAAAAAATCTTTAAAAATTTACAAGACTGCAACTTTTTATAAGACCAGAAATTTACATATAGTTTTATTAAGATTAGCCTGAAAAAAAGACCTATGGTGACTTCCAACATATTATTGCTCGTTTGCTATTTACATTTTCAATAGATAGAATTAATTCAATCTACTTATGTAAATAAGACTATATACTGACATGCTGAGCTAATCGATAGGAAATTAAAATCCTTAATTTTGCCTTAAATACAACATAGTCAAGTTATAAATACTGTCCTCCAAATGAGAAATACAAAAAGGCTGGGAAAGTGTCCCCAGACTACAGAAGGAAACAACTTCTCTTCCTAAATTCAATGTGTGTATCCACCCGTCATGTAAGCAATTTAGTGTCTATTACCTGTCACGAACAGTCCTAAGTGACTGAGATATAAAATAGGAGAGTTTGTGCCCTTAAGATCTTTATGGTAGAAATGTAAACAAGCACAGGACAGAAAATGTTGAAGGCACTTTGATGGGATCTACTATAGGTGGATCTTTTGAGAAACAAAAGAATATCTCGTTGTAGCTTGAAGTTGGGGCTGTTATAAAAAGATTAGTAGAGAAGAAACAATAGCCTCAGTCTTCAAAACTGGGTAGGAATCTTTTAAAGAAAGTTGAGGAGTAGCAAGGGCAAATTTAGTTTTTAACACCTTGTGGGTACCAATCTTGCCCCTATTCATGTGCTTCGCATTGTGGTTCCACAGCTGCCTTTATCACAGATGAGAGGGAGGGTGCTAACTCTTCAGACTCAACCCAGATCTATGACTTAGAATGTCCAGCGATGATTCCAGACATCGCCTTTAACAAACTCCCATGGTGGTATTTTCTTTAGGTTCATTCTGCACTGGTCTCTGTCCCCCTTTATTTCTCTCTCTATATTTATATATTCCTGTCTGTTTCTCTCTCTCTGAGCTATCTTAAAGTTCAAAAAGTTAAAAAAAAAAAAAAAAAGCTCAAAGGTAATACTCATTTTCTCACATCACCCAAATTTAATATTTTTATATTTGCTTATTTATGAATATAAAATATAAACTTCTATAATTGGAGTCCTCTTTATCACATTGTGCCCAGTCCCACATAATTCTAAGGCATATTCAAGTTTGAAGATCAGTGCCTCAGAACATAAACTTACTTTGTATAATGCCAGGCAGGAGTATGTTTTTCTTTAACATATTATATGCAAGACAAACCAGCCACTGCTACTGCAGTTAGGTGAGGTTCTACCTGCTGCTGCCAAGTGTTATGAATAATGGCTGGGAAAGGCAGAATAAAAAGCCACTGGTAGACATGTCATGACTTGCCTGAAGGCCCCATAATAATCTTGACTGGAACAGAACTAAAAGACTACATCAGTTTCTCAAAACTGCACATCAAAATCTCATGTGGAGTTTTCTTGCCTCTTTTTTTTCTAAGTACCCATAATCACGCCTTCCTCCTGATTTACTGAATCAGAATTTTAGTTGTCTCAATATCTATAACCATAATTTGCACAGAACTGACACCATTCTGTATTTAAATGGATTCAAACTTTACCACCAGATCTGCAGAATCTCCATTCTTGCATTCTTGACTTTGAAACGTGTTTGCTAGCTGGATTGTGTCAACAAGCAGTTTTATCCAAAAGGGCTCATGAATTTGCATCCGAACCCTTCATCTGGATTCCAAGTTGTTTCCCTGCCTCAGCATTTGGGGGACACTGCTCTTCTATAATCTGGCGGCACTGAAGTTGTATGGGAGCCTGATTTTCTTGTCTTTGGGTGATTTACCTTTTCTAACTAAATGAGTAGTTTTTTTTCCTTTACTCTTAAAGTTCATTAGCTTAACTAGAATAAGTCTTGTGCTAAATGTTACTCAATTGATTTGTTTCTATATGTCTGCAATTTTCTTTCAAACCTCCCTTTTTTGTCCTACCACCTAGTCTATTTTACTGATCTGTTCTTATGAAATTGTTATACAATATGAAGCAAAAGTTATTTTCTAAACTTAGCTATTGTCTTTTACACACTTTTTTCTTTGTTTTTCATCTGAAGTGTTTGCACAGATCTCATGCTTTTCCTCTTTTCATCTAGCTCATGCTTTGTTGGCAGTCAAGATACCTGATCTGTTCCGGTACAGTGTTAACTTCTTGACACCTTCTCTACTATACCCAAGACCCAGTATATTTTCCCCTTTATGTTATGGTTGGAACTGTTTTCTTCCACACTGCTCTATATTGTCT